ACTTCCATTTGTCAGGGCTTTTAGTGACCTCCAACTCTGTATTGGCAGCTGTTTTGTGATGTGCAAAAAGGTTAGGGTATAGCAACAAATCAGGCAGATGGAAGGCAGTGTCAGCCACGAAGGTGAAAGAAGGACACAGGTGCTTGTAGAAGGGTAGCAAGACTAATTCGGCTTACAACAGGAATGCTGTAAGAGAAAAAGCTCCAGCATGGAAAACAAACAGGATGCTGAGGGAGATCAGACAGGGGCAGAAGCAACAAAGTGGTGAGGAACTGACCCAGAAACCTGCTCATGCAAAACCCATTGTAAAATTTTGCTGAGAAGCAATGAGTAGCAAGCAGGGGATGCAAGCAGACAAGCCCTGGACTGTTTTCTGCTGTGTGTAGGGGCCTAGCTCTCCTGGCAGGATGTGCAGACCACTGCAGTGAGTGTGGCCAGGACCACAGCAAGCCCCTTTCACGACTGGGGTGTACCCATGTGCCTTTGGCTCTGTTGGTTTCCCTCTGTGCTGACCTAGACACAAAGACAACGCTTCTGGGAGGCCAGAAAGGGGTGAAGGTGCTTGCGGTGCTATCCAGGATGGCAAAATCTCTCTATCTCTCTATAGGAACAAAGTCCATAACGCACTCAGTGTATTAGCATGCCTGTTGTGCAGTAGATTAGTGCTGGCAAAGCTTTTGTTATCCTTGGCATTTTTTAATTATTATTTAATTATTTATTTATTTTACGATTAATATCTGAGTTATATATGATTTGGCTTTTGTGTGACCTGCTAGCCGAATGAAAGCCTATCATACCTCCTGGAGTGCTGGAGTTGCTCCCGTTGCTATATAGGAAGTGGTGGGGTCACCAGGGACAGTGGGTGCCCCTCACCAAGTGACCGCTCTGCAGCAAAGGTAACAGCAAATGAAACCTGCTGAGGCTGCCAAGGAGAGCAGCTGCAGCCTGTGCCCTGGGAGTCCAGGTGCATCCCTACCCTGGCTTTTAAAAACAGATTATCTGCATAAATAATAAAGTATCTTGCTCTGGGCAGGTGACTGCTGAGCTGCTTAACCAGGCAAGGCATGGGCTTCCCCAGCACACAAGGCAAGGCTGAACAAAAGCTGGCTGGTCACACAGGAGAGGTTGAAAGGCTGGGTCATGCTCAGATTCACCCAGACCTCTCCTAAAAGGTTGGTAGTGGCGTAAGAGGATGGATAGCAAAATGATGCTCTCCTCTGGAAGGCTGTTAATCTGATAGAGCAGCCCAGTCCTCTCCCTTGCCTGGGCTATGGGCTTTCTTCTTGGTTCCCCCTTCCCTCCTTCACAAAACTCCGTGTAATTATGAAACTGTGACAGCAGGCAGAGATCCCTGACTGAGGGAGAAAAGCACAGTGGGCAGTCACATATTGTCGCAGTTCATCCTTGTTTTTTTTTTTTTTCCCTGTGGTGAGAATCTCTGACTCTCAAATAGGGTTAAAAATTGCCACGGGCCGTTTGTGGGGTGCAGGGGGGTGATGAGCTCAGTGAAAGCTGTCACTGTCTCCCCAGCCAGGACCATCGCAGTGTGCCTGATGAAAGGCACAACAGTAGCTCCGGTGCGGATTAGCTGCAACCCCTGCGTTAACCTGTGCTATCCCGCCGAGATGCTGCTGCAATAAATAATCAAGCACATCAGTGCATAAACATGCTGTCTGTGCTCTCCCCGGGTCTTGTGCCAGCGGAGCGAGCATTGTGTATTCCACACCAGGCTAATCACAGGGAGGAAATTTGCCGCGGACTGGAATCTCATCAAAGCAAACAACGGCAGTCTCGATGAATTGCACCGACCCAAGTGTCTGCTTTAATCACTCACTCATGTGTTTCCTTTGGTAAAATAAAAGAAAACACAACACATGTAAACTTGATCGCTCTTAAATGAACAGTTTAATCCTGGCACGGCTGTTGCTTGTCTACAGAAGGAAGGGGATTGTCTTTACAGACAGATTTCCAGATGCTGCTGCATTGAAGTGTGCGTTGCATGGTAGAGGGTAAAAAAATAATAAGCAAGGGAGGGCAGTGATGCTAGGTAAAAGTCTGCTGTGAGGTAGCTAAAAAAAGTCATACTGTCAGCAGGACAGACTGGACAAGCACTTTGGAAATCAGGGAGTGTGTTACTGGTGCCGCAGTGGACACACTCGATGACTGGTAGCAATTGTACGGCTGGGTGATGCTGAGGGGTCACCAACCTTTTCCTTCTGGAAGGAGCAATTAAGGCTGTTATGGAGAGAGATATTTAAAGACAACAAAAGCTTCTGCCCAAGGCAATCTGCCAGATGTGAGTTAGCTCCTCAGGCCAAAGGCAGCCTGCATCAAAGGCTCCTTCTCTAGGCTAGCTCGACTTTGAAACCCCCTCCTTCTACCACTGGGTGACTGGAAGGATTTCTGCTGAAACAGAACTTACATTTTTTGCTCCATGGATCTTTGATTGCATTACGTGCACATACAGTGATGATGCACTTCAGCTCATTTCAAGAAAAAATGCAAAAATCCATTCCAAACCACTGTCCCCCCTCCTTCCTGCCCTCCTACCACTCCAGCAGAAATTCACAGCATCTCAGTTTTAAGCAAGTGGAAAGCTGACTTTTTCTTTCAACACTCCTAATAGCCCCATACATTATTTCATATGCTGTTTTGTCCCACTTAACCATCCTTTCTAACTTTCCACAACCCTGAAAATTATTGGGTTTGATTCAGGATTGTGTTAATAGATCTACCCCAGGGCACTGGCATTGACTCCAGTGGTATAATATCTGATTTATGTCCTGTGTGAGATCAGAACCAAGTTTGCCACCTCTAACCCTAAATCATTTTCTCACTTTCATATCGTAATATCGATCTGTCCATTTCAAAGCAGTCCAGGCATTCATCTTGTTATCAGATTCTCACAAGGAGCACAAGGCTATGTTCGGTCAATGATTTCTCAATAAATGCTCTATTTTTAAACAAAAAGAAGCCCCAAAGCAGACAAACAATAAGAGTTAATCCTTACATTTGTCTACAAAACAAAGCTAAGTTAATAAACTGTAAAACAGAGTGGAGCAATGGGGCTAGATTTCCCAATATTCATGTTGTTTTTAATTAGTGATTTACCCTGGGATAAAGCTCCTGAACTCAGCAGAGCTTGTTGCTAAATAAGATGCTACTGAGCAATAAAGAGGCCTGACTTCCCACAGTGATGCTCTCAGTGCAGATGAGCATATGCATCTCTTAGCCTTTATATTAAAGAGTGAGGAATGTGGATTTAGGGAGGGCGAATATATGTTGGTCTGCCCAATAGAGGTTCCCACTAGCCTCAGGTTCCCACTAGCTTCAAAGTCATGCCTGCAGACCACAGCCCAGGGCTAAGCTATCTGAACATCACAGAAACTCTCTCCGGGTAGATGAAGAAGCCTGGTGCCCCCAGAGAAGTTTGATGAAGACTTCAAGGGGACTGAAATTTCTCCTCCACCCTGGTGCTCAGCATCACCCGTGCTCATGGGCAATCTGCCTTGAAACAGGGGAGTGTGGCAATCCCCACCCGACCAGAACAGGATCCACAGCAGCAATGCCTAGCACACTGTGGGTTGAAGTGCCAGTAGCTTCTCTTTCCTCCTCACTTCTGGCTTTTCCTGTGTTTTTGATCATGCATTCATCTCAGACACATACCATTGATATATATATACCTATTTAATGTTAATCCTTGCAAGCCTAGCATGCTTTGTAACAGGTGGCGAATGGGCTTGTTTATTGCCAAAACTTTGGGAAAAGGTAGAGGTCTCGGTAAAGATAATTTGCAAAGAAATATGGTTTTAGCAGGGTGGTACAGAATGACTGCATTTACAATAGTAAGTAAAGCAGTGCCAAGGAATGTTCCTGGATGTGGGAATGTTATTGGCTATCCTGTTAACATGTTAGACTTCTTGGGCACACTTCTGGCCTGTTCCAGCTCACACTTACATTGCTGGCTGCCTCTTCTCACAGATAACTAGTGATAGGACTAGAGGGAATGGCCTTGAATTGTGCCAGGGTATGTTCAGGTTGGAAATGAGGAGACATTTCTTCTCAGAAAGAGCAGTCAGACATTGGAACAGACTGCTCAGGAAGGTGATGGAGTCGCCGTCCCTGGGGGTGTTCAAGGACGTGGTGCTTGGGGACATGGTTTAGTGGGTAACATTGGTGGTAGGGGAATGGTTGGACGAGATGATCTTGCAAGTCTTTACCAACCTTAATGATTCTATGGTTCTATGACACCAGGCTTGCCTGTGCTAACACCGTGAGGGCTGACCTGAACACCAGCATCAGAGAATAGTTACTGTCAGGTTCAGCAGGAACACCAAGAGGAGCACACCCAAGCAGCTGACTTGTGGACAGTATGCAGGGATTATTGCAGGTTCTTCGTTAAGATCCTAACCTCACAGACACTAAATCCCACCCCAAAGGCAGCATACTCCATTATGTACCTCCCTTTACAAGAGTGTGTAACACTGTAGTATTATTATATCCCCTTCTCAATCAAAAGGCTTCAATGAATAGAGTAGTGTTCCTGGCATTGGCCTCTGCATGTCAACATGTGTAGCTTGTCAGGCCAGGGCATTGTGCAAGTCTTGGAGCCAAGGGCTGCCCAGAAATGCAGAGACTGTCATTTCCATTGCCTCAGTCTGAACGAGACAGATTTCATGCTGCATTACCTTTTTACATGCTGCAGATGCAATTTTAAATACCTGTGCTATTCAGTTTGTGCTACATGCAATGCGTGTGTTGGGAAGGAAGGTATTTTGCTGGCACTTTGGAAACTGTTGTGGTTACAGCAGCTGCATTTGAGTAGCACCTAGTGAATGGGGTACAATATACGATCAAACAGCCCTAGCAATTCCTTTTCATTAGTGGGAGTAAATGCTTGGCACTGCATCAATCTTCTTCTCCCTCTCCTCATCCTCTGGAAGTGCCAAGTCATTTTAAAGACACATTAAATTGCCAGAAGACTCCCAAACAAAGCCAGTCAGCCTGCTGCTCGTTTGGATAAAGTTAATTACAGCGAAGATTAAAATCTGCAGTGCTTGATTGGTGTTGTTGAGACTCAGAGAATCACACTGTCCTCGGAGAGCGACTTGCCAGCTCTGCACCCCTCCTCTTAGGTGCGTGTGCCTTTTCTTTGTTGTTCTTTGTAATTGCTTTGTCGCCTTCTTGGCAGTCTCCTTTTTTCTGAGGCCAGCAGAGAGAAGATATCCCAGGACTGATGGTGGTGCTTGGAAGGGGAAGGAAGGGCATGCTATATAAAAGGTTATAAACATCTGGAAAGTTTTCTAGAAAATTCCCACCAGTTCCCTGGTACTCAGCCTGTGCTTTCCTGTGTGCTGAGGAGCCCAATTGGCCAGCGTGGATGGATGCAATGCCTGAAGGGTGATCCTTCTGCTCCACCACAACCCCTTCAAGTGCTGGGTGATCCATCTATGCTGGAAGAAGACCTTGCAAACTGATAGCAGGGCTACCTTTGAGACACCTGAGTGCTCTGCAAAGACCAGATGTCTCTGGAAACAGTGTAAAGGTACTTGAGGGAGGCAGGAACCAGAACATCCAGCTGAGAATGAGTGACTGGGGGGACTGGCAGCTACTCTTGCTGACCACCTACCTGTGAGCAGTGGGAAATTATAAAAATAATAAATCTTGTCTTTAAGAGGGTACCACACATTGCTAAATGAGAAAATTTGCCTTGATTCAGCTCTTGGGTAAGTTTTATAATTATAAAAATGGTGAGATACTGTGAGTACCAGGTGTTGTAAGGCTGACAATTTGCAAAGATTTTCAACTCTTCAGTTAAAACTGTACAAAGCTAAGAAGCTCTTCCTTATCAACCTACATACCTTACTTGGCTAGTGTTTTACCCTTTCAATGCCTACAGAAGAGTTGGCGGGGGAATACAGAGAAACACATGAGGACAAGAGCTCTAGGGATGCTTGGCTGGGGGCTTATGCACTGGTTCTTGTTTTAAGGTAGCCTGGATGGGAAGGCTCATATTCTAAGGGAGGATGATGCATGAAATAACTGGGCATACCCCTTGAAACCCTCAGCTAGGTCTGGCTGGCTCAGGAGCATGTGGGATTTGGCATCCTACCTATGAGGTGTGGGATACTGGGTCATATGGAGACCATATGGATCACTATGGTGGCACACATGTAACATATACAGTGGTTTTACATATTGAGGCAAAGTTAATTTAAAATATATTCTTAAATTAATATAGCCATTGCCTGGAAGTGCCATTCTCCTTATTTAAGGATATTGCATTGAGCCCCCTTACAGATTAGCTGCCTGCAAGCTCTTTATCTCTGCATTTCCCTCAGCCATATTTAAACTCTGACTCTCCTGAGGTGACTCCATGCCATGGAAGACAATTTTTGTGCCTTAGTGAGTGTGAGAGAGAGCTGGGTTGTTCTGGGGCCAGGTGGTAAGAAGGGAAGAAGGCGGGAACAATACAAAATGCAGAATCAATTTCATGCTGCCTAAAGCCATGCTTGTTCTTTGATGGATAAGAACACATCAGGGGATACAGAGTATTTATTTGGCATGTGTCTCCAGCCCATAGATAAAGGAAGAGCTGCTCAAAATCACCATGTTGCAGACTTTCAAAGGGAAAAGCAATGTCTAAAAGTGGAGAGAGAGAGAGCAACACAAGATTTCTTTAAAGGAGACTTAAAGAAGCCAGCTTGAAAGCAAGTACTTAGACTAAAAGCAGTTTCTTCTGCCAACTGGTTTGCTCTTTTCTCCTTGAAATACCATTAGGAGACTTAAAAGTTGCCACTCATGCTTTGCAGGACATCTTTACTCCCCCTCATTCCTGCTCTGGCCCTTCCCTTGTGCATTAGGACATGTGAGCATTGAACTGCCACCAAAAAAACAGTACCTTGAGCAGTTTCCAGGCCATTCGCTTGAGGTGCTAACTCCTGCCATAGTGACTTTAAGCTGTGTGTACTAGAAGGAGAAAACAACAAGGCACTGATGAAAAGCACTGGAATAGGAGGTGATTGCTGACTCAGAAACGATTTTGTTCATGCAGTCATGGAGGTGACAGCCAGAAAGGCTACATGGGCTTCAGCAAGTGGTCACTCCAGGCTTGCTGTTTAGGAGGGTATTTTTGTTACGTCTGTCTCTCCCCGTTATTAGTATGTGGTCATCAGCACCTAATTCTAGAGCAGTCATCCACTTTAAGTCCCTCTGAGGGGCAGCATGTCTGCTTGGGCCATCAGCCTGCCTAGCACTGATGTCTTGCTCCTGCTTTGCCTGAGATGACCCAGGGTCTGCTTGCAGAAGCAAGGCAGGCTCTTCCTCATCTCCCCGTAGCAAAACCCACATAGACAGCAATGGCTTTTGGTAAGCCTGAAGTTGAGAGGGTCCTGGGTACCTGCAGCTACCCCTTCAATCCATGTGTGGCCTCAGGACTTTGAAATCACCCTGGGCTTGTTGAGTCAGGGAATTAAAAGAAGCTGTTCCTTAGCCAGTGAAGCTAGCTTGTAAATGGGGACCTTTCACTTTGTGCTTCCTCTCTCCCCGTGCTAGAAGTGAAAATGATAATAAACCGCGAACATCAAACCTTGTTTTGTGTAGTTCTTTGATCCACAGATGGAAGGTTATATAAATGCAAAGCACTATCATTATTTATAAGGAACACGCAGTCTACAGCTCCTTGCAATCTGGCGTGGTGGAAATAAACAGGAAGGCACAAATTTAGCATGATGATTTCACTGCCGGATCTAATAAGATGCAAAGACAGGCTGGGAAGATGTGAGTTTGTTTGAACACATGATGCTGTGGTACCGGTAATTGGCAAATAGAGGAATAATTATGGAAAAAAATGAATGAAAAAAAGAATCTGATGTGCTGGATTCATAGGTGATGAAAACTGACCTGACCCCTCTTACTACAGCAATCTCTGGGAGTTTGCATCAGTTTAACTCCTCTTATTATCAAAGCCTTACTTCCAAAGAAATGGTTTAGGAGCTTTCCTTCCAGGTATAAATTAATGTCACTAAAATGACTCCCTTAAACCGGCGCTGACGTACAGCACTGGGTATTTTGCGCAGCTGGGATGGGAACAAGTTTTAAACTGACAGCAGACTGAAAGCCTCAGAAACGGAAATCCAGAAGTTACGGTTGAGAGGAACAGGTGGGAATGCAGCTGCTTCTCCTCGGCTAAAAACCAGAGAGCAATTCCCCACTACTTGTACCTGGCTTTAGGGAGCAGTTCTCCCAGTACTGCCTGGCTGGTGCTGTGGTATCCCCCTCTTTCCCTGCTCTGATCTGTTTTTCTTTGTTTTTGTTGTTGTTGCTGGTGAGTAGGTGTAGGACAGGAAGGGAAACAAGCTCTCCAGCAACGTGGCTCAGCTCTTCCCTGGGGAGGTCCTGAGCTGGCAGAGGTCTGGAGCTCAGCCAAGGTCTGCTCACCTCCTGGTTCCCCTAGGACTTAAATGCTGCTGAATTTTCTGATACCTGGAGGTCAGTAATTCAGTGTGAATACTGAAGGGTGAAGGCTATGGGCTCCTTCACTGGCTTTGCCTCGGATACCCCCACCACACGAAAGGGAAGCTGGTGCTCCCTACCTCTTCCCTCCTCTCTACTCAGACAGTGAGGCAGCAGCAGTGGGCTCCCATAGAGCATCCCACTCCCTGCAGCAAGCCTTCCCAGCCCCAAATCAGATTACCACATAACCCTGTTTGCTCAGCGCTGCTGTGTGGAAGGGGGCTACGTTTGGCAGTGCAAGGAGCAGCGAGCAGCCACAGCGGGCTGAGCTGCTTAAGGGGCTGTTTGCACTGCCTCAGGAGCTGAGGGGAGGCAGGGGCCAGCACACTCACATGTAGCAGCATTTTGGCAACAGACTCCAGTCCCCTGCAAAGCCCACCCAGGGATTTTAGGCACCGGGTCAAGGTACAGGGGCTAAGGGACCACAGAGCGTGGGCTGAGCTTTCAAGGCACACCTCTGCTTGAGCTTACTGATTAGACAGGCAGGCAGCTGGCCATCTTGTTATTTTAAAATCTCGCCCTCTTATGCTGAGCTCTGTTTGCCTTCTGGATGTTATGCAAAGCCCTGTTGTCTGTGGGCTTTTCGGAGCGGCTGTGCTGCTCGCTGCCAGAGCAGAGATTTGCTTGTTCTGAGCTGCGTGGGGCCAGCCTGCCGGCAGTGCTCGCCAGGGGCTCTGGCTGGAGCTCAGCCTGGGTGGACGTGTCCTCTGCCCCGTTTCCCCCTCTAGAGGCAGTTTCACACTGGATGAAAGCATCAGAAGCTCAGCAAAATTCCTGACTTTGCCTGCTGTCTTCAACACAGGGAGCACTAAGATGGGGGACACGTCCAGAGATGGACTGGACATCACAGATTTGCTCCAAGAATGACATAGACACAGAAAAATTTGTTTTCCAGACCCCTAGACATGTATCTTCTGGGTACTGGCCACGTGGGAGAATATTAAGTGGTGTGTTTGATTAACATTTACGAACTATGCTTGAGCTAGATGGGTGCTTCAGGTTTTGTGAAGAGATGCTTTGTCCTTCATGGCAGTACATATTCTCTGCATTCTGTGCTGTGCTGTGCTGTGGAGGAATGAGTCAGCCGGATACCAGAGAAGATTTTGCAAAGTGCTTTGATGCACAGTGTTTTGGGGATATATTATGTGAAAAAAAAAACACAACTTGTTTGATCTTTTGATGCTCATCCTTTCTCCCGCTGTGCCCTGTGTTCAGTGAGTAAGTACCGATACTTTTCCTGAGTACAGGACTAGCTGCTAGCATTCCTCAGAGTCTCTTATACGTTATGGGCATTGTACTTTACGTATGCTGTATTTCCTGTGAAGGTGTTCTTGCTTCTTATAGCCCTTGGATAGATGGATAGATCCATTCATTTTGGTGAAATGTGAACTTTTATTTCTTATGGAGAAGAGTCTTCTGCATGTCTTCCAAAGCACTGGCTGTTCATAAATGCTGTTCTGGCTATCTTTTCCATTTCCCTCAGCTGTGAATGGTGCCACGGTTGCTTGTGCTGCTACAGCAGCCTGGAGATGTCTCTGTGAGCAACAGGAGGGCTCTGGCAAAAGGTCCTCCCACACAAAAAGCAGGACTCCTGCACAGGCAGGAACCAAAAGAGGGTGCT